GTCCATTAGGGGGCTACCCTCTCCCTGATGTTATTTAACATCTACATGTGCCCTCTTGCCCAGCTGGCTCAGAGTTTCAGGCTGGGTAGCCATCAGTATGCTAATGACACCCAGCTGTATCTGTTGATGGACGGCCAGCCGCATGCTGTCCCAGGCAATTTGGCTGAGGGTTTAAAGGCTGTGGTGGAGTGGCTGAAGTAAAGTCTACTGAGACTGAATCTGCCAAAGACTGAGGTTCTTTGGCTGGCTGGGTGCGGACCTGGGGCTGGGGCATCAGCTCTCACCTCTTGACCATGCACCCTTAACACCAGTGCAGATGGTCAAGAGCCTGGGTGTGGTCCTGGATGCTTCCCTTTCAATGGAGGTCCCAGTCACAAATGTCGCCAGGCTGGAGTTTTTCCAATTACACCAGGTTAGGCAGCTGGCCTCTTACCTGTCTCACTCCAACTTAATCACAGTAATCCACGCAACAGTCACCTCTAGACTTGATTACTGTAATTCGTTCTATGCTGGGCTGCCCTTGAGGCTGATCCAGAAGTTACAGCGTGTGCAGAATGTAGCAGCCTGGGTCCTCATGCACACATACGAACTATGCGCCACCAGCTGCACTGGCTTCAAATTGAGTACTGGGTCACATTCAAGGTTTTGGTCTTGACCTTTAAGGCCCTCAATGGTCAGGGACCAGTGTACCTATGGGGCTGTCTCTCTTGGTATGTCCCCTGGAGAGCACTATGCTCAAGTGATCAACATCTGTTGGAAGTCCCTGACCCAAAGAGCGCCTGCCTGTCCTTTTCGGCCCTGGCTCCAACTTGGTGGAACTTTCTGCCTACTAACATCAGGAGCCTGCAGGCTCTGTTACATTTCTGCAGGGCATGCAAGGCAGAGATGTTCTACCAAGCATATAACTGAGGACAGCAATAGGTTTTAACAGCTACTGTTTTTTAACAGCAACTGTTTTTTAACATCAATGGTCTAGTGGGTTAATCAGTCGTGAACAGATGCTGGTGCACTAACTGCTTCTGTCCTCTCCCCTTACTGTTAAAGTATTGTTATAGTAAAGTAAATTGGGGGAATACAATTGTACTATGGCACCATGTGGGTTTGGGGCTATGTTCCTTCTAAGCTGGGGAGTGTTGTGAGCAAAAATTCTACTTTGTGAGCTGCTGGCATTAAAGTTGTGAGCAAGCAATTTGGCTACTGCATAAATTAGTTTGCTCTGGAGCTCTCCTTCCTGGGCTAAGACAAAAATGTGTGAGCCGGAGGCTAAAAAACTGTGAGCTAGCTCACACTAACTCAGCTTAGGGAACACTGGTTTGGGGTATTTCTGGAATTGTACTTGAGATTATTTATAATTGTATGTGTTTTATAGGACTTTGTTGTACATCGCCCTGAGCCTGCTTGTGAGGAGGGCGGTATAAAAGCCTAATTTAATAAACATATAAATAATTTGAAGTTTGGTTGGACAAAACAATGGAACTAAAGTCACTCTAGTGGGATGAAGAGTTGAGTAAGCCTGTTGGTGTTCTCAGAACCTAATTTCTCAAGAACGTGTGAGACAGAACGTATCTATTTTTTTTAAAGTTATTTTAGTTTCAAAATGGGCCCTCAATAGCTTAATTGTGAGTTCTTTCTCAAATAGAAGCTGTTATATTTGAAAAGAGATTTAAAAAAAAAATCAGAGGCAACAGAGATGCAATTAGTTGCTGAATTATTATCTATATGGCTTATATTCCTGAAATGGAAAATTCAGTCACACCTTTTAGCATACACACTTAAACTCATTATTCTTTAATAGCTTCTTTGCCACAATATGTCAATTAAAAGTACAAATAAAACTGAAATAGCATATTAAAACAGTAAAAACAGCTAGTGTCCTTGGCTTTCCCAGGAAAGGCTCCAAAACTATTCATCTGATTGGCACCAGCAAGGTATCATTCAAAATCCCATGGTGTATTGTATAAGTTAGACAGTGTAACATAACTTGCTTATAGTTCTTGGAATTCATATTATAAAATATCTTTATATCCATTCCTGAATCAACATCTATTCTGAGATTAATACTGACTCATACGGAGAGCAGAACACACAATTTTAGGTATAAACCACCAGTCCCTGGTCCTGAATACAAGCACAATCAAAATGCTTGAGAGTTTTGTAACAGAAATGCTCAATGGATTCTTGCTCTTTTTTCATCAAATGCTGCTTTACAATTCTGTATTTCAACAGTTACTCTTTGAACATTTATATTCGCTTTAAAGCTCTGGTTTCATACCACCCTGCTGAGATGGTTGTGACATCAAGACTGTATTCTGACATCATGCCATACTGCAATAAAACTCTAATCCCCTGTGACAGGGACAAATGTGGATCATTTGCCATGCATGCTCCTTTACTCCTCCCCCACTGCAACAGAACATTAATTGAAAACGAGCTCCCAGTTGCCCATGAAATCTGAATGCAAAAGCCTGGCAAACAGGAGTTTGTTGCCCCCTCGACTTCAAGCCACAACTGTAAAAGAGGGATGAATTCCAATTTGCATAGGGAAAAACAAACTCCAGTTTTCCCAAGGGCCTGCATTTAGGCATCATGGACAACTGGTCTTTACTGGGGTTTGTTTTTGCACTGCATGGAAGGGCAGAAAAGTGAGGGGAACACTCAAGTCTATTGCGGTGAACTGGAATTCAATTACAGCTTAGTGTGATGTCTGAATACAACCCAAGCAAAGCAACGTGAAGCAACAATTCAGGAAGACCTTAGATAATGCAATAATACTTTTTGTTCTTTTAAGGAGTTATAGCAAATCTTCAAAGAAAACCCAGCCAGAAGCAAATAAAGTGTGTTAACATAGAACTTTGATTTGTAACACTAACATCTTGGATGTTATTCCATTACACTCTTACAAAATGCATTTGGCTTCCAATTAGTACTGCACCATCTGCTGACTGAAATGTATAAATACTCTTAAGTGGATTCGTAGAATTTCCATCCAGCACTCAACAGCCACCTAATGTCTAAGCAAGGAACAGCAAAGCATTCATTAAAGTCGCCTTTTGAAATTTATTTTAATAACAAAGTTCCTGCCCATATCTCTCCTTATATATAAACCTGTTTTGGGGTGAATGTTTGACATGCTCCCACAGCTTTTGGCCCGCTGACCTGTCACTCACAAGGTCTCTCCATCCATTGGTGGCTGTGTTGCCTGCGTTGCATGCGTCCCGCCCACAGGCACAGCACACACCAAAAATCAAGTCAGAATAGAACTTCACTTCACCACAGAGGAAGCCTCGCTCAGTCAGGGCTCTGCCTTCTAGCCTCCTCCTTCCCCAGTCCAGCAGCTCTTCATGGCTCCGTACCACTCAGGCCCACCTTGACTGCCTGCTTCTCTGGCCCCCACAGGCTCTGGTGCTCCCGGGGGCGGGCCCGTCCCTCACCACCTTCTTCCTGCTGTTGCTCTGTCAGCACATGACGGCCTTGTGGACCTCAGTCGGCTTCTTTCCCTCCCTCTTCCCCACCGCTGGCCTCTCTGCCGCTTTGCCTGCCCCGCACTCCTCTGTGCCTTGCTGGCTCCAGGTTGGTGAGGGCCCACAGGGCATGTCTGACAATGGTGGGGGGCCCCGGTGGGATGCCGCCAGGCCCACCTGGGCGATGAGGTCGTCACGACTCGTTCCATCGCCCCTCCACCATGGGCTCCAGGGAGGGGCAGCGTGGTGGTTGGGGCCCTGTTTCTAGAGCTCATTGTCTTCCTTTTGCAATGGGCTTTGCTCCTAGTAATTCATAATGCCTAAATTCACACAGAGTCAGGCATGTTGCAGAGTCTCAGTGTTAATTATGAATTCAGCTCAGTTCTAGAACGAGGCTTTTCCCAATTCTACCCAAAGATTTGTTTTTTTTACTGAAAGTTGTTCAATTGCAAAGTGTGCAGATTGATTTGCTGTAACACCTCTGAATTTAGCCTGCTGAAGTATCACACAAAGAATTTAAATGAAGATATGATCTACATTACATTGATGTCACTGAAAACACTTATTACTTTTGTTTCCTGCCTTCCTCCAAAGAGTGCCAGACCCTTGACAGGCACTGGCAATTAGAGCAGACAGTATTAGGCCAGATGGGGATAGTGGTCAGACTGTGTAATGAATTTCCATGTGCTTCACATGCAGAGAAATGTGCACCCACAGGGGGATATCAAAGGTGTTTTCTTTAAAAAAACAATATGCCCCTGAATAACAAGCGCCATTACTTTCTTTCTTTCCATATGTATCTTGTGAGAACACCCTCCATTCGTAGAAAACAATTCCAAATTAAAATTTAAACTTACCTTTAAACAATTTGGAGAATCATTTGATAACTATTTTTATAATTATTGCAGCATGCATACTTCATAGGAGAATCTCAGATCTTGAAATCCTGATTATAAACATTTATAATAGTACATATGACTGATTTAACACACCAGCAATGGAGTAATGTCATGATCCAAACAGCAGTGGATAGAGTACTGGCCAGAAAGCTCATTTTGATGACATCAGTGACTCCTGGCATTGCCTAAAAGTGAGAATCTGTCATGTACATTTTGTGAGGAAAAATAAGATAGATGTCGTTAAGCATCCTCTTTGGAAAGGGATACTGAAATATGCTAGAATGATTTCTAATTTTTCTCAATGGAGCTTCCCAAATTCTGGCAAGATGTTCTCATGAGGAATATCACAAGAGTTTGGGAAGTTCTATTTGGCAAGTACAACTTGCCCTATGGTGTGAAAAGAAATCTTACTTACCTTCTAATAAGCATCCGTAGTGCTACAGCCTTAATCAGCAGAAATACTTACAAATCGAATTAAATAAATGTTATAAGATAAATCATCTAATACTAATTTGAAGGAAATCTTTTTTACTGTTTTTTCATATGGTTTGAATCTTCAGCTGAAGAATTATAAAGAATAAATTACAAAGCCTAATTTAACAAAAAACTGTAATAATAGCTCAGAGTGACAAATATTCACCTTCAATACTCTGTGGACCAACCAGATTTGTTGCTTGGTGGGCAGGGTATTCAACTCGGGGTCTGGCAATGCCCAGTTGCTCCATAACCCCATGGAGAAGTCTTTGAATATCAGCTTCAGAAACTCTGTCTGGTGTCCTAGGATTGTGACCAAAAGTCAAAGCTAGCCGAAAGGCCAGCAGAAGAAACACACTGCCAAACAAGGTTGTGGCCATGATGCTGTCAGTATGTTTTGTAACCTGTACCAACACAGCAAAGAAATCAATTAATGAGGATATGATCTATCACATCCCTTTACTTTTCAATGGAATCATCTATGGGAAAGTAAGTAGACTAGTTTCTTAATACAGGGCTAGGACTTAAGTGCACATGGAGCTGAATCCCATGGAAAGGTTCAGAGATCATTTTGGACTGCAGTGTGAGGGGGGAGGGAAGAAAGTCCTATTCTGCTGGTGGAAATCTCCCATGTAGATGTTCAAATGTGAGGTGACTGTTTCACTGAGTGTCTGCATGCACAGAGAATACTTTACCATCACGGCTTCTCAATTGCAATTATATAATTTTCTTATTGCCTTATAACGAGTTTCTTATTTTGGAACTCTTCGGGTAGCAACTCAAGTCAAAAGATGTGCTAAATGCCCTTGCTTCCAAATATCAAATTTGCCATGGATGAGTACTCACTGGCTGACCCTGGGCCAGTCACGCCCTCTCAGCCTAATGTGCCCTCACAAGGTTGTTGTGAGGATACAATGGAGGAGAGGAGAATACTGTCAAGTTGCTTTGGGTCCCCATTGGGGAGAAAGGTGGGGTACAAATGAATTAAATAAATATCCACGCCCCCCACTTTTACAAATCCAGTATGCCTTTTAAGACACATTGTTACTTCTATCATGTAATTACTTAAAATAAAAATTATTGAGTGTAAAATAAACACTCCAAAACCCTACAAATATTCCAAAGAACCTAGATATTAAGTACCAAAGTAAAGTCTTTTTAGTTGTGTTCACTTCTTCTATTTTAAGACCCAAAAGCAGAATTTCGGGTGCTTTTTTAAAAGAGCATTTCAATATTTTTTGCATTTCATTGTGGACTTTTGTCCAAAAGTCTGCAGCTTTTTCACAAGTCCACCACATATGGTAAAATGAGCCCTCATGACTCTTACATTTCCAACATTTGTTTGACATATTCTGATTCATATTTGCAATTTTCTTCGGAGTCATGTACCACCTGTACATCATTTTAAAACAGTTCTCTCTGACATTGGTACAAGTCGATATCTTAATAGAGTTTTTCCACAAATATTCCCAAGTTTCAATAGTCACTTCCCTATTCATATTTATTGCCCACTTTAACATTTGCTCTTTAACAATTTCATCTTCAGTATACCATTTCAACAACAGTTTATACATTTTAGAGATTTTTTTCCCCTCTCCACTTCCCCAAATATTTTCCATTTCATTTTTTTCTTCTCTAAAACCATAATTTTTTTTATCCGATCTGAAGAGATCATAAATCTGCATATATTTCAACCATTCATATTCATACTGAATTTCATTCTGCTTTTTCATTACCCATTCTGTTCCCTCTTTTTTAATTAAGTCTCTGTATGGCAACCAATCCTTGTCTCGCTGTCTTGAGTACGATGTTAATACTTCTACTGGTACAATCCACAATGGTCTTATATCCCTAAAATATTTTTTATATCTTGTCCATACCACAAACAATGCTTTTCTTACCAAGTGAAGTTTAAAAAAGCTATCCATTTTTATCTTATCATACCATAAATATGCATGCCAACCAAACCTACAGTCATGACCCTCCAACCCCAATAACTTATCATTCTCAAGCTTCACCCATTGTTCCATCCAGGTTAGACAGACCGCTTCATAATATAGTCTAAGATTTGGTAGCTGCAGTCCTCCTCTTTCTTTCGCGTCACAAAGTATTTTCATTTTAATCCTCGGTTTTTTGCCTGCCCAGACAAACTTTGATAACTCTTGTTGCCATTTCATCAGCAAATCTGTTTTGTTTAATATTGGTATTGTTTGGAACAGGAACATCAGACGTGGTAGGACATTCATTTTAATAACTGAGATTCTTCCCATCAAAGATAGATTCATGGTATCCCATTTCTTAAAGTCTTGAGTTAACTTAGCCCATAATTTCTCATATGAGAAATTACGACTTCTCAATTGCAATTATATGATTTTCTTATTGCCTTATAACGAGTTTCTTATTTTGGAACTCTTCGGGTAGCAACTCAAGTCAAAAGATGTGCTAAATGCTCTTGCTTCCAAATATCAAATTTGCCATGGATGAGTACTCACTGGCTGACCCTGGGCCAGTCACGCCCTCTCAGCCTAATGTGCCTCACAAGGTTGTTGTGAGGATACAATGGAGGAGAGGAGAATACTGTCAAGTTGCTTTGGGTCCCCATTGGGGAGAAAGGTGGGGTACAAATGAATTAAATAAATATCCACGCCCCCCACTTTTACGAATTCAGTATGCCTTTTAAGACACATTGTTACTTCTATCATGTAATTACTTAAAATAAAAATTATTGAGTGTAAAATAAACACTCCAAAACCCTACAAATATTCCAAAGAACCTAGAAAAACTGAGCACCAATCATGAATAAAAGTTGTAAAATATGTTTTTTCTGTAGGTGGTAGGGATTTAAGGCCACTCCCAGGCTGCCCGAGGTACTTGTATACTTGTCTGCTGCATGTACAATTTACAAGTACATGTGTGTTTTGTGCGTTCATCTTAAAAACAATTTATGAAGGGCCTTGAGGGAAGAAAACCTGGAGCACACTCTGGGGCCTTCCCCCCCCCCTCAAATAGGGTTGTCAACCACCAGGAGGTCACTGGAGAGCTCCTGGGATTACAACTGATCTCCAGGCGACAGAGATCAGTTCACCTGGAGAAAATGGCAGCTTTGGAAGGTGAACTGTATGGTATTAAACCCCATTGAATTCTTTTCCCTCCTGTAAATCCCACCATCCTCAGGCTCTACCCCACAGATGTCCAGGAATTTCCCAACCAAGAGTTGGCAACCCTACCCCTCAAATATATGAGGTTAAGAGCTGTACTTTCTCTCCTCCCTCAGCTACTCTATAAGAGGATCCAATATGCTCAGTGGGATTGCATGCCACCAAGTTCCACAAGCCTCAATACCCAGGTTGGCCCCATATGAGTCTCAAGATAAGGCAGAAATGGGAGAATGGTGATAATAATTTTGTGATGGGGGAAAAATGGCTTAATGAAAAGACATAGAATTTGGTTCCAAAACTTTCATGCTGGAATCTGTACTCTGACCACTGAATTGCACAGGCTCTGTCTACTATGATTTCAAGTTAGGTCTCTTTTTGGGTTTTGAAATGCACAGGCTTTGCTTCTTCCCTAATGAAATTCTGTAATGCTGGACGGTGCTTGCTATCCATGGATTTAATCTGAGAAGGGCAAAGTGATCATGGCTGTCAGCTCTGTTTTGGAAACAAAGCAATTTTATTTTAAACAATGCCAAGTAGTTTCTTTTACTCAAAAACTGGCACTGTGACACATTCCACACACATAACCAATGTGTACATATTCCTCCTTCCCTTGTTCATATTGGGGGAAACGGTTCCATTTATGCATGTCAAACAGGATTCTCCAAATGGCTGAAGAGATTAAGCAGACAATCGAACCACAGCTGATTGTCATTTCACTTGAACACACACCAGCATCTTGTTTACCTCCGAAAAGCCCGCACATATCTGCATGGAAGTGAACCCCACTGAATTCTATGAAGCTCAGGAAGCATGCACAGATCTGCAGCCTGAAGTTAACTGCTAGACAGAGAATGCTGGGGGAACTAATTTCATTGCATTCTAAAAAAAACCCTGCCATAGACATTGTTGCTATTCTACAGCAAAATAACGTTGCATATGGTTTTTAAGACATCCTATTCCTTCCCAGATCTGCATGAGAGTTTGCCTTCTTACAGAATTCCTTTTCCAAACCAGCAACATCCCCTCCCCCCCCCCAAATTCCCAGCCACTACAACAAAGACTAAACATAAAAGCTGGATAGGCCGTCCCCGTTTGCTTTCGATATGGCTCCTCCCCTATTTTGAGAGGGACCGAGAAACCTCCTCCGCTGCCCTTTAAGGTATCCCCTTCAGAGGCCACCCCTTCCGAAGCAGGCCTTTCTGTCATCACAGAGAAAGCGGAGGCACATCACGGGGATTTGGCCCCTCTCTCCATCACAGTTCCCCGTTTCACCAGCCGAAATGAATCTTTGCTACCCCACAGCGCACCCCGTGTAAGCATCCCCGGCGACGCCGTGGCCTCGCCCGTCCTCAGCCATGCTGGGCATTATCTCGAGCTGCCACTCACCGCCCAGAGCTGGAGAAGCTGCTGTGTGCGCGCCTTCTTCGTGCTTTAGCAGGCGCAGGGGCTTCCAGCGTCACTTGCTTGGCCAAGCGCAAAGGCTGCCCGTGTGCAGCACATGAATCATTCATTCGTTGCTGGGGGGGGGGGGGGTTTCATCCGCTCGGCCCCCCCTTTTAAGACCAATAAAGATTTATTCAAGTTATAAGCTTTTGTGGGCAAGCACACTTCTTCAGATATTAGTGTGCTTGCACACGAAAGCTTATACCTTGAATAAATCTTTGTTGGTCTCGAGCCGCCGCCGAAGGTTTGGTGTAGTGGTTAAGTGCGTGGACTCTAATCTGGGAGAACCGGGTTTGATTCCCCATTCCTCCACTTGCACCTGCTGATGTGACCTTGGGTCAGTCACAAGCTCTGGCACAGCTGTCCTTGAAAAAGAGCAGTTTGTGTCAGAGTTCTCTCAGCCCCACCCACCTCACAGGGTGTCTGTTGTGGGGAGGGGAAGGGAAAGGAGTTTGTAAGCCGCTCTGAGACTCCAAGTGAAGGGCGGGGTATAAATCCAATCTCTTCTTCTTCTTCTTAAAGATGCCACTGGACCCAAACACTGAAAACCAGTAATTCCTGATCGTTCTCAAAGACCACTATAAAATGGAGAGAGGTGTGTGTACTCTGATTATTACTGAGCTCCCTGGAGGAAAGTCAAGATTAAAATTTCTCTGTATCAGGCCATATGAAAGAGGAGGACCCAAACATGCAATGGACTTAATAAAGGCAGCCATGGCCTTCAGTTTGCAAGACCTGAGCAAGGATGTCAATGATAGGACATTGAGGAGGTTATTAACTCACAAGGTCACCATAAACCAGTTGGATTTATACCCCGTCTTTCATTCGGAGTCTCAGAATGGTTTACAATCACCTTCCCTTCCTCTTCCCACAATAAACACCCTGTGAGGTAGGCGGAGCTGAGAGAGCTCTGAGAGAACTGTGACTGACCCAATGTCACCCAGCTGGCTTCATGTGGAGGAGTGGGGAATCTAATCCAGTTCTCCAGATTAGCATCTGCTGCTCTTAACTATTACACCAAAGTGGCTCTCAGAAGCAGTTTAGCACTACATATCACACTTCCCACCCAAAAGGTAGGTGGCCCCCAGTCAAAATATCAACTTTCTCAAGGCATCCCAGTACGTTGAATCCCTGCCCGTGTTTTGAAGTGGCACACCTATTCCCTGCATTTCTTTGGTTTCACAGAACAGCAAGTTTGATAGATTACAGCAGAAATGCTTTTCCTTGTAGATATTACCCATTTTTGGCTTCCACTCTTTACCTAGTTTATCATTTAAATTTACCTTCAAGTATTATTAATATGACCATATTTCCACATGCACAATCTTTTAAAGGTATCTATGTGACCTATGTGTCCCTTTTGGCATTCTAAAGAGAAGTGATTAGCCACTTCTAAACTATTTAAAACTGGAGGCTGCCCTTAACTTGCCCCTTTTCCCAAGGCCAAATTGCAACTGGATATCAGCTCCACCAATATCTACTGAAACCCATCTAGCATTCTACACAGGATACAGATAGAAAATCTTAGAGATCATGACACAAAACATCTTCCCCCCCTCTTCCTCTTTAAAAAAAAAGGTCCAGACCAATGCTCCCTCTAAGTTGTGGAGTCTTGTGAGCAAAAATTCTACTTTGTGAGCTACTGGCATTATTTATTTGTATTTTTACCCCGCCATCCCAGCGAACAGGCTCAGCGCGGATTACAAGAGATCAACAATGGGCACATATAAAACAAGATTAAAACAGAATAAAATAATTGAATCACAAAAGGTGCTCAGTAAAGAACAAGATGGTTTTCCAACGGAAATGCCGGATCTTTCATTGGAGGTAGTGTCCTGTAGCTGGTACGCAGCCAGTCCAGTGGTACCCACCCAGTGCGGTATCATGGCAGATCTTCAAGGGCTGTCCTCTTACCCAGTTGTTACCCACGCCGTTGGTGGTGGTGGTAGTGGCGGCTCCTACGTAAAAGCCTGGCGGAAGAGCTCCATCTTGCAGGCCCTGCGGAACTGTATGAGGTCCCGCAGGGCCCTGATCTTCTCCGGGAGCTCATTCCACCAGGTAGGAGCCGCCACTGAAACGAATCTGGCCCTAGTTGCGGCAAGCCTTGCCTCCTGGGGGCCTGGAATCACCAGGCGATGTTGAGTCCCCGACCGAAGTGCTCTTGAGGGTACGTATGGGGAAAGGCAGTCCCTCAGGTATGTCGGACCCTGGCCATATAGGGCTTTAAAGGTAAGCAACAGCACTTTGAAATGGATCCGGTATGCTATTGGCAACTAGTGCAGTGCTTTCAGCCCAGGCTGGATGTGCTCCACTTGGGGAGGCCCATCAACAGCCGGGCCGCCGCATTCTGCACCAGCTGCAGCTTCCGAATCTGTGATAAAGGCAGCCCCATGTAGAGAGCATTACAGTAGTCTAGCCTCGAGGTGACCGTCGCATGGATCACTGTAGCCAGGTCATCGCGGTCGAGGAAGGGAGCCAACTGCAGCACCAGCCTAAGATGGTAAAAGGCCGATTTGGCAGTGGCTGCCACCTGGGCCTCCATGGTTAAGGAGGGATCCAGGAGCACTCCCAAATTCCTAACCTCTGACGCTAGCACCAGAGGCGCCCCATCAAAGGTCGGGAGAGGGATCCCCAACCCCAGGACCTCCGTCTTCACTGGGT